TTTTTTTTTAAATCAACACAACACGTGACAACTCTACAAGCGCCTAATTGGCGAAGTGACTAATTAAAGTGTGGTGTATGCACCGCAGTTGAGTAGAACACAGTAGCTGAATGCACTGTCGCCTCTAGTACGTAGTACATAATAGCTAATGGTAATATATAGTGATTTCGTTCACAATGTTAGCAACAATCGACATCGATATACTCGTTTTTGTTTAGTTATTTACTGTTATTACTTTATATCCTAAAAATATTTCAAAAAAATAGGACCAATCTTATTATTATTCGAACGATTAAGTAAATTATTTTCTAAATCAAGTGATAATGATTATTATATTTCATTTCAAATATTAGTTCTGCATAAGCGAGTTGGATCCCATTTGTAATCGTAATTTTATATGCTGACTAACGACCCGCCCAGGCTTTTCACGACTGTTTTCTATTTTGACAACAATGCCACATACTGGGTCCAATTATAAGTGTGAGAGCACTGATTTATATATTACACTAGATCAGTAATAACCATGCCAAAGCGTTGCCACTGCACATATGCCACAGCCGTATGCCTATACGTCAGTTCAGTGTTCAATGTGACGCCGACAGAGTTGAGCCGTGACAAAAAATGGGTAAATGCGTAGTAAAAGAATGCTATTCAAGGTCACAAAAACGTAATAAATCAAGCGGAATCACTTTCAACACATAATTTTTAGTTCTTATTTTCATATATAAACGTAAAAAAACCTCAAATACTATAATTTAGGTTCAATGTTGCCACTTTTCGCATTTGTGATTATCCTACAATAATGACCTCTGATTTTAAATATTTTGGAAATTATAATAATAATAAAAAAACTACGTTTTAACTTTCATACAAAATGATTAATTATTCTAATTTTAGTTTATTCATGAATTATCTATTAAATATATTTTATTACCTATTTTATATTAATTATTTTATATTAATTATAATTTCATATAAATTTTATGTTAATTATATTTGAAATTGTTTGATTTCAGGCGGGGAGTGCTTTCAGCCGGGATGGAAGATGTGATTTAGATGTGGATAGGCGCGTCGCTACCGGAAACAAAGTCAATGGTGCCCTGAATGAACCTGAAAGAAGCGAAAGAGGTATGTAAGTATCGTGATACTTGGCGATCTGCTCTCTCTGGCTACCCCGTTAGGGATTGTGCGTGAAGATAAGTAAGTAAGTAAGTTTGATTTATTAATACAATAAAAATACTTATAAAAATATGTTTTATTTCATCATTATTTTTACTCCTATTCATCTGATAAGCTTTGTATCCTTTTTTTTCTAAGGGGACTTAATAAAGATTTTAAAATTAAATATACTTTTTTAATATAAAAACAATTAACTGCAGCTTTAAAAAAAACTCATTTTTATTGCGTATTTTAGGTAAGATTTCATATAGTAAGCCACACCAACCCGCCATTGCATGTTTATGTGTCTATCTTTATCTAATCTTAGAGACGATATTGTTTTCGCAACTTGTGTAAGTGTTTATTTAAAATTGTTATTAATTTCATAGCTACGTCGTCGCGTTTGTACAGTGGTTACACTTTTTTCGACGCACGGTAATGTGGTTTGCTCCTCTAGTGTTGTATAACTCAATGTGTGAGAGTTCATCAAAATCTGTTCAGCCTTTCTTAAGTGATGATCTTTCATACATGTGGTAATTGCTTTTTATTTATTTAGATTTATCAAGATCAATTATATTTAAAAAAAGTTTAATCAGCTTGGATGAAAATATTTCTAAATCGTGAAAGTAAGGCAGCATCTTGATAACGCTGTATAGCGGTGGCGAAAAAGAATTCACTACCTCCTTGGTTACGCGGAAATGAATCGTTTATTTTTATAATAATTTTGTTCGGGGGGTATATTGCTCGCCAAGGGTCCGTCCTTCCTGCATCCTGATATCCATTCTATACGTTCTGAGGGGGAGAGGGGGTCTAAAAGGTGACGCGATTCTTTTGACCAATAAAAACGCGCGCCCCATCAAGATGAGGTGATGGGATGGCCGACCCAATAAAGGCTCGCGCGCAGCCTTCGAGCGCCATCTTCCAACGCACCACCAGAACAGAAGCGTCGTCCGCGGCAACAGTACTCCACCCCAGTAAGTGAGTTTCTTTTTTATTTAGTTTTTCATACTTGGGCCTTTTTTGTTTGTTGGCTAACCCGTCCCATTTTCTCTCCTACCGGCTCAAGTAGAACTTCCTCTCGACCTTGGTGAAGCAATAGATTTGGAAGTGTGATTGCATTGTCCAAGGCTGTCGCGTGCCACGTACGCCATCTTGTTGAGGCATCAGAAGCCCGCGTACACAGTCCACCCAGTAACATCTCACGTAATAGGGAATAGAACTCGGGAACCCCTAGGGCCGTCGCTCAACCACTCCTAATAAATAATATGTTATATTATTACTCAGAAGCTCTAAGACCCCATACTATCCCGTGAGTACTGTAAAAGACGACAGAGAGAAATGAAACATGAGATAGGCAACAGTGTCTATGGAACAACATTGTCTATGGAATGGAAAAACTGCAATCACCTTGTAAATGAAAGAAGGTGAGAATAATATAGCTATTTTATTATGTACTATATTAAACGTCATATGTGTAAAGAATAAATTATTTATGCTATAAGAATTTTGTTTTTATTTTAGGACTTTCTCTATGCTAGTAATTACTCTAAGATCATATTGAAACTTGTTTCATTGTTTACAATAATATTGAGGGGAATTTGTGGTGAATCATCAGATTTTTGTCCCTAAATTTAAGGAATTTTATTTAGATGTTTGGGGAGTTACATATATTCATATTGGCGAGCCTGCAGAGCTGTCTACTCTACTCATAGATTACTGTACTCTACTATACTCACAGAACCACAGAACACTAATACTCCTACTGGCGTAGACAGAGGAACCTATATGATTAGCGTCAGTGGCGAAGCTAGAGCTCCAAGTTAGGGCAAGCCCAAGATATAAATTGTTATAAAGATATAAATTGCTAGAAATTGAATGTTGAATTTCGGCGCGCCAGCGGCTTCATGATAGCTACACTGCAGAGGCGAAGCTAGGGCTCCAAACTAGGACAAGCTCAAGATATGGTTTTGTTGTTTTTAGCAGTTTTATAAAAATACACCAATCTTGATCTGTCTCCACGCTTCAGTTTCATATTCAGTGCTGTCAAGGACGTGTTTAACAAAGCACACAGAAGGCATACCACTGCTAGATAGATTGTATTACATATCAGCAATTGCATAGCTTCGGTGGCTTTGAAGAAAGCCGTTTGGGTTTGTTTAAGCGAAAGAAAAAAATATTTACATCCAATACAATACATGAACAAAAGTAAAACACGAACAAAGTACAAACAAACTAGGTACAAAACTAAAAAAAAAATTATTTACATTCTTTTGGATAAGAGATAAGATAAGATAAGTGGAATCGTCTCGCTTTCTTATGGAAAGATTTAATTATGTCCACATAAAATGTTGGTGAACGTTTTAATTGTACCAATAACTGTTTTTAATTGCGATATATGCGATAAGTCTGAAATACACTTAACCTTGTGTATTATCTCAACAAAGTTTAAAGATTTCCTCTCCGATTATCACTTTAACACACTTCAATTCATCACAAGGAACACTATTATCCTCCATTTTTATAAAAATCTTTAAAAAAGCATAAATTTTGAACTCGTAATATTAAATCGCTTAAGATAAGCACACAGAGTAAATAAACATTGAAACGTGAAATGAACTTGCAAACGTATTGCCCACGCGCCTCCGCTTTTAACAAATTTATTCCCAAAAGCCTGGCTTTAAATTTCTATACTAATTGCTATATATACAATCGTAGTTATATTTCATTATAGAATATTTTGCCATAGGTTAGAAAGAGAGCGATCGTCTTCTCGAAAGCCCCGTAAAAAGCTCACGCGAGCGAGGGAGACAACTATTAGCTCTATTAAAACTCATTTTTTATGACAGCAGCAGTATCGCTATGGCAATACGAGGTCATCGGTCGACATGTGTCGAACAGTGGAGTGCGCGGAAAATTTGAAATAGCTTGAAACGTTTTACGAGTTATTTTATTAGTTGATATTATTGATTGATTCAGATTTAATAAGGTAAGCTCGGCTTTTCGGTTTTAATGGAAGCTTCGCCACTGATTAGCGTGGCCTTGAGTGAGAAAATACGATAACGTAATTTTAGGTTATACAATAATCTTGACTTTTAAACACAATTAGATAATTTTTTTTATTATTCTAAGAACTGAACTGAACAAGATTCACCAATCTTAAGCTTCCAAAACTCTTTTTTCTCACTTAAACCAACTTGTAAACTCCTTAGATCGCTACGAACTGTCAAAGTTATATAGCAAAGTGCAGTTTGCTTAACAAAAAAACCGGCACGGAGAAAGGGACTAACAATCACACCGCTCTGTCTCATTTCTATGCAAGACGTATGCATGAATCTATCTTTTTCGTGTGCGAATGCGAAAGAAGGCGTCAATTTGTCTATAGGTTTCTCTGTCTATCGGACTATACTTGTCTCTACTACGCAGTAATATACTCTGTGGTAATAGTAACAGTGTTCTGTGCACAGAACACTAATACCCTTAGGCGGGTGGTTGTTCTGTGTTTGTGCCACAATGGTCTGTAGCTACTACTTCGTAGCTACCTACGTATCTACGATTTCATCCATTTTCTTGGTTTCCATTCCTACCAAAAGTAATATCAGAAGTTCGTTCTAGTGCCATTGTATTTATAGCGATATTGTACATTGATAAACACTAAGGCTTCGTTAGTATTTTTATAATTAATTGAAATTTAAGATTGAAACTCTATTTTATAGTATCTTGCTTCACTATTCGATCAGCTGAGTTTTGTTTGTTGTCATTGTTTCTAGACACCATTGCTTCTGCTTGTCAGTGTATAAGGCGATTTGGGTCCTACGCATTAGAAGGGACAAGGGACTAAAAAAATGAACGAAATTAAGTCACTTGAACACGCTACTCTGAAGGTAAGTTAAGGAAGATATAAATATTTGTAACGTCTGTTGTGTAACACTATTATTTTTTGTAATGGGACATCTTTATAACGCTTATAATTAGATTACGCATGCAAACATATGGGTTTGTTTATAAGATGGGTTAATAAATTACTATATGGATGGATTTATTGTCACTAATTTGGCTGAAAATTGCTTATACCCTCATGTTGCAATGTTGACTTTGTGTTTCTCCATTTAATAGATACAAAGAATAATGTGCATCATTTTTAAGAGTTAAACTTATGCTGCAGTAGTTGTTAAATAAACTACATAAAATTTAATTTTTAATTACTTGTGCTTGGAACATTATAATATATTTTTATGTTTCTAGGTTGTTTTGGTAAAACCTTTGGTAACTAATTACCCACTTTTTTTCTTCTTATTAGATAAATAGCATAATCCTGACTCTTTTTACTGGTAACAAGACATCAATATGTTTTAGCCCTCAGTGGTAGGAATTGATCTGTATTTTAATTCTAATTGAGAAGAGCTGTGTTCTAAAAAATCAAATATGTCTTCTCGGTTTTAACATTCATGGAACCTAATACATGTCGGAATTTAATAAAAAGTTTTAAAAGATTCAACATAACATTTGAATACAAATAGTCTCAACATTAAATTTACACTATAGCTATAATCGCTGCAGTGTTAACTACTAGCCTATTGCATAATGTATAATATACCACATCACTTCAGGTGCCATATGAAGTCTTCAATAAGAAATACCGTAATGCTCAGCGTATTCTGGATGTTGAGGCAAGGCAGGTGGGCAGTGCAGCTGGAGACTTGGACATGACTGCAAGGAAAACTGGTGTCACTACTGGGGAAATCGACTCTTTACTTGGAGGAATGGTTTGTCATAAAATAATAATCACTTTGATATGTAAGAAAATTGTGTGGTGGATCCTTTATTAACAAATTTCACCATATTTACACCAGTGCTTCCTTTAATAGATAAACATTCAGTTTCTGATGATATTGTATATGAGGTCTATGGTATTGAATAAAGATAGGGAAGATTCGATTATAATAGTTTAATACAGATCCCAGTAATCCCCCAGTAAATCCCAGTTGAGATATTATTTATTTTTCATTTCTTTTGGGTTTTTTTAATAGTCCAAAAACCCAGTGAGGTCAACCCTGACCTCATGGATGTGTGAGTATGAAGTTATGTGATGTTAATATATATAAATATTTATAGCAAGGGTCGTGAGGTAAGAGTAACCTCATGAATGTGTCAGTAGAAGTCTCCAATGAGGTCAGTGTTTACCTCATGCACAGGGTATGTGTTAAACTCTCACACCTGTACCCTAAGGGGTAGGCACACTAAGAAATTTCATTTGACACTGTTTGTAAAATTTTGGTGACTCTGCTGTTATTGCTAATTCGCCTTAACAAGGAATTCTCCCTAATCCATCAGACTGGTTTCTGTAATGCTTAGTTTTAGTTTAGTTTACAATGGGTTGTTTTCTGCAACTCCACGTCTGAGTGCATATTTTGCGTGTGGGCAGGAATAATGTGTAATGATGATAATAATGTGTAGTGATTATTCGAGCCATGAAATCTCCCCGAAGAAGTTCAATAGTCCTTTGATGTTGCAAGCAACTTCGGGCAGCGATCCCGACGTGCTGAGATGTTTAGCCCTGGTTATAGCACTTGTTACTATCTTGATCTGTGGCTTGTTTACTCTCGTTAGAACCTTGGTTAGATGACTGTTTATTTCAGGCAGGGCCTCCCTAGCTTGTCTATAGTCTGCAAGATTTTTCCAAAGTTGAGCGCATAGCTTAGTGAAGTTTCTACATACTAGTAAATGAACATAACCAAAGAGGATTGATATTATTGGTTCCGGACCTATACAGCCCTATTAATAAACATAGACTTGAGCAAGATTAATTTTACTACTATTTTAAAGCTTAAAATATCTAATTTCAGTATTAATAAACATAGAGTAAGGAGGAAGTAAACTAATCCAAATCTACTCTCGTAATAAAAGTTAATCCTTGGAGGTACCTAGTTAAACGACTGAGTAAGCATAGACTAGTTGCGTATCATCAATTTGATTGAACGTCAACAACCCAGGCTCAAACATCTTATTTGTTAGATTGCCAACCAAAGCTTGTCAATGTCTCGGAAAGTATTGTATCTCGTGAACCTATTGAACAAAGAACAGAAACCTCTCTACCTAACACTTCTACTTCTGTAGTTTGTCAAATAAATCTGGACAATCAAAAAGAAAACACTAACAAATCTGATGCAGATTGAAATTGACAGAGAAACTCTTACTCTCTTTATAGATTCCAAGATTTTAGAAGATATTAGTGTTGTTGACATTGATGATTCTACAATTGCAGAGATTTTAAGCAGCAATATAGAATCAGAAACACCTTCGAAAATTCTAATAGAAACATCATTTACACCAAAAATTCCTTTGACCATGTCTAAGAGGGCGAAACAGTCAACAAATATTTTGAATTCAAAAGAGAATATAGAACCAAAAAAAGATATGGCTGAAAGAAAGGAAAAAAACAAATAAAAACTAAGTTAGACAAGAAAAACAAGACTGAAACTACCAAAGAAAAAAGAGAACTTAAGAAAACAAAGAAATGAACCAGCAACAAAGAAGGACAACAAAAAAACAAAAGCATTGTTTTAGTGACAATGTTGATGATAACCTAGCTGATTTATGTGATAAAGAAAATGATAATTATTTAAAAGTTAACCAGGACCGCAAAAAACTAAAACAACGAATTATTTACAGTTCAAACAGTGAAGATGAAGACAGTTCACCTCACTATAAAATTAAGGGAAAGAAAACTAAAGGTTTGCCGGTAAAGAGCATTAAGAGAGATAAACAGGATAAGCCTAAAGATACAAATAAAGATAACTGCATAGAATGTTTTGAAAACTATAAACAAACGAAGTCTAAATCCGACTGGATAAAGTGTAAAGTGTCAGAACTGGCTACATGAAACCTGGACACTTATCGAAAATTTTATTTCTCAAGATGTGGAAAACAAAGCACTATACAACTAAGCATCATTTAAGTAGGATTGCAAAATGAAGATCTTTATTGTATTATTTTAACTTTTAAAAAATAATGAATTTTATTATTATATGTTGAAACTTCGCCTATGGGGTACAGGGGAACGGTCTACCTATAATAATTAATATTGAATAAGAAGAATTTATAATTTTTATTGTTGAACAAATGTTTTTAGTAAGTATGGTTATTTTATTTGATCTCAAATTATGTAGAATTATATGCTAACGATGACAATTTAAAAAAATTAAAAACTGCAAAATGCTTTTCATTATTAGGCCCATGTTTCTTGGAAACAATTCCTGTTTTAGGAGTAGCTTTCTACTGCTGAAACACCAATTGTCCTCAAAAGCTCATAAAAGTTGATAAAGCTCAGTTGAGAGTTAAAAAAGTTGAGAAGCTCATAGAAGTTGATGAGTTTCTCGTTTATACAGTATGAAGGGCTTCGATTCCGCGCCGCAGGCATATATTCTTCTTAGTATTTTTATGGTGGGGCAACTATCCATACGGGTAGGCTACATCTATCCCCAAAAAAGAAGTCCCACAAAAACCAAAAATTTACAAAATATGTAATTTGTAGGGCCAAAAATACAAATCACAGCTATACATAAAGGATTAAACTAGCTTATTCATAGACATTATTTATATAAAATTATTTCTTTTTAAATTAGGAGGATATTTGAGAAAGTTGGGCATCTATCCCGCCTTTACCCTATAGAGATGTGTAATTTGTAGAGTAAACAAATAAAGTAGACTTTTAGTAGCTGTCGATAAATGGCATTGCAGCTGAAATCTTATTTTTAGTGTCCGACCAAAGGTCAATTTTTGGCCGAAGCTGTAACCAAAGCCGAAGCCGAAGGCTTAAAAACCCTAAGAAATTTAGTTTAGGATTAGCGAAAATATAATATTACATTATTACAGTTGGTCGATCGGCGCAAGTCCACAAAGCAGTGTGGTACCAAACATACCCTTAGTTCTTGGCAAAAAAAAAACACTTAAACATTTTGAATATTCTGCTCATCTCGACTGATGCATACAGTGACATATCGTCAACGTAAATCGTTAGCTGCTAAGATGCTAAGTCCATCTTTTCATAGTTTACTGGACGAAGAAAAAATGCTGAATGATATCTTTTTGATTTAACAATCAAAATTATGAAAATCCCGTTGGTTTCTATTACAGTTTACCAGTTTTACAGTTTTTCCTCTTTCATACCAGTCTGTTCAATATTGGCGTTTGCTAGAGCTTGTGAAGAGGATAGAGCGCAAAGTGAACTGTATTTATATTTTACATGTGACTTACTGACTTTACTTATTACTGTGTAAACTATGCTAGGGACGTTTAATTGAAAGAAGGTACGGGACTAAAATAAGAATTTATTCTCTTATTACAAAACTTATGCGGCAGAATTTTAATTAATTAATCTACACTATCCTAATTCCCAATAGGAAGCCAGAGGGGTCTTCTTTCTTGAGTTCTTGATGTATTAGAGCTCTTCTCTACCGTAAATGAATTTCGACAGTTTTTTTTGCGCCCTAAGCAAATAAGGGCAACCCTCCGGTAACGGGGGAGGGAGGTGGTGAATGCTCATAGCATACCACGCAGCCGGCTGCGTGGTTATGTGGAGACTTTTACCCACTAAACACCGCCTTTTGGGATTGGCTTACCGATCTGACAAGAGATCTTTAAGCCGTAAACGGACGCGACCCTCCTTGGCAGAAAGGAAGGCGCAAGCGGCGAGAATCCGCTTAGAAGTGTGCCTAACTAAGGCAGATTAAGAGATGTTTTAAGTAGGCTCGGACTGAGCCGCCAGGAGGCAGTTCAGGTCAGCCGAAAGCTTGCCCAAGCTTTCGGCCGAGAGAGAGTTTCTCGATCTGCGCACACTATAGCGAGTGTGAAGAGGGGCTGCATAGGCAGCTGTCTCATGAATGCGGTGATTTGAGTGGGACTCAGAGGCATTAAAGAATCTCTCAGAGAGTGATTTGAGGAACTGCTGGATTGTTGGGAGCTCTAGGTCTCGGTGGAGGTCGGCGTTACGGACGTAATAGGGCGAGTTCGTGGCCCTACGACAGAAGAGATTTTGAACTATTTGAAGTTCATTTATAATGTTGGGTTTAGCATTTGCGAAAATGGGGATCTCGACGGTCGGGGGCTCCAGTTATATTCCTACGACTGGGGACGCATAAGCGCCGAGTTCCTACACGAACTCGGTTGGTCGCTGATTGGATGCGCGGCCCGTCGCTCTGCTTTCTAGTGCGGGGTGTGGGAGACGTGTCACTGCGGTGTGAGGTGGGAGACGTGTCGCTACGGTGTGAGGTGCGCGGAGTGACGGGACGGCGGCTCCCTTCGCCGTCCGTAACAGCTTGCTTTGGCCTTCGGCTTCAGCCAAAACTTTCGCCGAAGGTGGCTGCTTTCTTTGACCGAAGGCGGCCAAAACCAAAGCTTCGGTCGTCATTACTGATTTTATAACTACTATTTTATGCTATGTTGTCATTCTGTTGTAGGTGGAGAAGTTGAATACAATGAAACGCAAGGCATCTGAAGCCATCAATGAAGAAGTGCAAGCGGCTTATGTCTGCAAGAAAAGACTCGAGCACCTTAAAGAGCAGGCTGAAGCTTTGCAGGACCCCAGTTCTACACAAGTAAGTTGAAATATTTTGCATTAGGGAAGAAAGCTTTTCAAGTGGCAGCCATATACCACTAAGTGAAATACCGGACGGGGTCCCCCTAAAGATAAAGTGACGACCTGGTAAGGTATGATGGATGTAGGTAGCTCCTGACTGTACTTTGTAATATTATTTTTGGGAACCATATGTTCAGTTGTGGACTGTGGATGGGCTGTAATGAAGATAAAGACTTATTTTTTTTAGATATTTAAATACTTTTACACATCCAATCATTGTATTTTACCTGGTGCTTTTAAAACTAATCTGTTATCATTTTTAGACTAGGAGTTCTAGATTTGAATTTATGTTAATATCGAACTCACTCTTAGTTAGTTTGATATTAATATAAATTGAACGAAATTTTACTGTTATGATGTTTGAGGTCTGCAAGGTTAGTTTTAAAATGATAATGAATGTCTTTTGATGGTACAAACAAAGTAACAGAATTGATAAGAAGATATATCGAGTAGGCTTATGGGACTTCTATGATATTGTAGCACTATGATATGGTTATGTACTACTCCAGAAAAAAGTCCTATAGGTTAAATGTGTTGTTTGCTGAATGTCCCAAAAATTCCGTCCCATTATTTGTAACTCATATATTATGTAAAATTCATTCAGGTACATTAGACCAGATTTCCTTAAGAAGTTGGTAATGTATCAAAATAATCTATAAAAAGTAACCTGTCCTTTAGTGACGGATCTCTATAGCATTCTAATTTTATTCGTAAATAATATTTGGTCTCCTTTCTTTTGAATGTCGTATGAAAGTGGTAAAAAACCACAAATACATTTCCCTTAGTATGTATTTAAGAATTTCATTTTAATTTCGTCTAATTTTTGATCTATTAAGGATCTATACTGTCCTCGATCGTTTTTAGACAATTTGAGCAAAGCCTCACCAGGACATATTTCAAGAGGTGCGCTTCTTGACAAATCACGTACCATTGTAGGAAACACCTTCTCAATTTACAGAGGGAAACGGAGCCGATGAGAGTTCGCTACGCAGTTCCAGTTCGGGTAGGTGGTCTTCTCGTATCAAAAGATTGTTTATTTCTCAGATATTCAGGTTTCACGATGTTTGCTCTATTTAATGACATGGTAAATCAGTACTTAACTGGGGTGCTATGAAGTGAATGTGTGCCATAGACACCCAAGCTATCACAACTCAGGTGTTAACATTATTATCGATATCAAGATTGCTGCGTCTTCACTACGTACATCTGTGGTGATTCGACTGTTTTAGAGTGAAATATTGAAATTTGAAATATTGAAAATTGCCTATGGTCGCAAGTAGGCAATTTGCAATCGTTTTCAAATTGTATTAAAAAAGTATATTAGTAATTGCTGTTTTGATAAATGAGAGATTAAGAAATATATGTTATTAGGTAGATGTAAGCTAGTATCCCACTTGTTCTGCAGCATGTAGAACTGCAGCTGTCTGCAGTCAACTCTATAAAAAGACTTTCCTAAGTGAAACCTCCTTCTGTGCCTAGAAGTCTGTGTGGACACCACCCACTTTTTATTCTATTTTACGATTAAGGTTTGACTGGTTGTTGTTAGCCGTGTACATACACATTGTGTTAGTGTGCGTAGGCCTTGGGAGCGCTCACTCAGGATAGCGAGTCGAACGAATCGCAGATACACACACAAATGCGCCTGTCGGTACACGTCACTACTACAGTCAAAGCGAAACGTTCATCGTGAAATAGAACATTTCTTTTTATATATCCTTGCGACAGGGCTGATGTATTAGGTTTGTGTATTGTAATATTAATTGTCTCAATGTGAATTCTCCGCGTGTTTTGTAAAATCATGGAAGGACTTTACCTTTCAAAACCTTTGCCCTACGAGTACACTATAGTTAGTACTATAGTTATTCTATTTCACGATGAAGGTTTGACTTTGGTAGTTGTTATGCGTGCACATACACATTGTGTCAGTGTGTGTAGGCCTCGGGAGCGTTCACTCACGATCGCGAATCGAACGAATCGTAATTACACACACAAACGTGCCTGTCGGTACACGTCACTACTACAATCAAGGCAAAACCTTCGTTGCGAAATAGAATGACTATACCTATTTTTCCTTACAAATAGCAGTGCTTGCACTGATGTGTTCTGGTCTGAAGAGTACAGAGCCAATATAATTATAGGCTGTGAGGAATCCCAATTAAGTCCTCGGAGTTGCCAACGTATCTGTAGCACTCTTTGTGTGAGGTTGCTGTAAATTCGTTCGTTCAATTCAGTTATTTCATAAAATAAGAATAATAGTATTTTATAAAATAAGAAGTACAAGTGCATTACCACCTTTAAGGACTAAAGCAGAACACCTCATATCCTTTAATATATTGTAGCCCTTTTATTCTTACCGTTCAAACTGAAACAGTAGTGTGTGTTGTGTTGCTTACCTTACTTCATACTGATACGGAGCACTGGGCACACTGAAATGATCGGGAATAGAATATTTCGGATTGAGTTACAATAAAACCTTTTCTAGAATTTGAATACTGGCCTCTTAGAATCTTTAGACTAAACAATTAAAAAAATGTTTAAAAACAAAAACTATGTTGGTTTAAAGTTGACACGTCGTTAACAGAAATAGAGCTCACGCGTGAACATTTCCGTGCCATAATTTGTCACAATTTTCGTCACGGCTTATCTCAAAATAAATGACTCAGCGAACTTGTTTCGATTTATGATGTTGAAGCACCGACGATATACATGAGTGGTATGTCACGGTTTGTTTGCCAGAAATGTTAGCCGAACTCCGAAAAAATAACCCGAAACATCGCATCATCTTACATCACGATAATGCGAGCTCTCATACGGCTCGGAAGACAAATGATTTTTTGAAGCAGGAAAACGTTGAGCTGATGATCCATCCTCCGTACAGTCCTGATATGCGCCCAAACGAATTATTTACATTCCCTACAATGAAAGATTTGTTACCCGGTCAACGATTTGAAGACCCCGAAGCAGTTGTGGAAGCGTACAAATCAGCCATTTTGTCAACATCAACTTCAGACTGGAATTACTGTTTTAATGATTGGTTTGCACGAATGGAAAAGTGCATTAAGAGTACACTAGTCGCTTGTTCTTCCATACAAACGTAGTCCGGCGATTACTCCACTGTTTGATGGTGTACGTTCAAAATAAAAATGATTTCAATTTGTCTCATCATTATCTAGCCCTGTATGGAAACAAAAAAGTGAAAAAGAGTATGTTTAAGAGTTATAAGCATCGAAAATTCCGAATTTCAACACTAGTTTTAACACATCTTTGGGCGGAAATAAATACCATAAGAAGAACGAAAATTGCAAAACAGTTACCATACAGGGATAGATTAGTTATTCAAAAATGCAAATAATTTTATTTTAAACAGATACATAGATAGATTTTTCGTGACATCCAGACTACCAAAGGTCTGTTTATAAAATTTCGCGCGCCCGTTTTTGTTATAAAACATCTTGCCTTTCGTTACAAATTGTTTCCGCGATCAGTGGGACGGACGGGGGCGCATCTATTTATGGTTGTAATACCTACATATCTACATCTTTATTTAGAAAAATTGCTTCCTTTTATTCGTGTTCATTGCTGAAGCCGGGATGAATATAGCTGCTAAAATGTGCCCATAAGTTTGTTGAAGCACATTTAGTTAAAATTGAAAACAGGTAGGTACATAATAATGAACTTTCGATACAGGTAGTACATTAGGTACTTAACTACTTTAATTTGCTAACTAACGAAAACATCTCATAGATAAGCACGATAATTGAAAATCTTATGCCGGCTGTACACGCTCGTCGAGACACCACGAGACATGCCTAGAGGTGAGCATTATTTAACATAATCGGTTTCAGAAACTGCTTACGGGCTTGATAATCGTATACCCAGTTTCGTGGACAAAATGTAATGATTATTTTACGTACGCAGTTGACACACACCACAACCGGCGCTCGCGTAAGCGTTTCGTTTTGAACAGATTATTATTAAGATGAATATAGGTAGGTATACGTAACACGATATACGACTCGCACAACGAGAGTAAAGAGTCCCTTCGGGATAGTTAAAGGCTTACACGCAAGATGTGGATCATAAAAATTATGTGATGTGATGGACAATAATACTTAGGCACTTACATATTTTGTGACCATAAAATTGTACAAAAGTACTAATATTGACGATGTCACGCGCATATTATAATTATAACACCTATAAAATGTTATATATTCGTAATCATAATCATAACATAACACTGTTAAACTAATGTTATAATACCTATAACCTGTTAATATTTTTGTAATCATAACCTAACACAAACACAGAACTAACCTACGCTATACTGTATTGTATACAGATGTATGTAGCGTTGCCAGGCGTCCGGATAAAGGCGGACACAGTCAGGCTTTTTGTTTGCGTGTCCGGCCAAATTAGACGGTGTCCAGGCCTGTCCGGCATTTGTCAGGCTTTTTATATTTGACCATTTTTTTTACATTTTTCATGTACTTAAATACATACTACCTATTGCAATTATTAAAACTAATATTGTAATGAATATTGAATGATTAATAATAAAGAACACTGATTCTTTTAATTTAAGATTTTGTAGTAAATGATATAAGGTTAGCATTGTTTTACTTTAAAAAATATATTATCGTGTTATACTAAGACTGAATAATTAAGGGTGTCCGGCCTTTTTACCAAAATGTCTGGCAAAGCTGGATGGTCTGTTCGGTTTCTCGGTTTAAAGACCTGGCAACCCTAGATGTACGTAGCTCATGGCGGCTGAACACGCTCATCTCGTCACCTCGTGTGCCTCTCGTCACGTAAAGGCTCGACGGAGAACACACCATGTACACACTCGTTGTATCATTTGAAGTTTGAACTCCATATGCCCGCTTGCTGCGTTTTGCCTTTGAACTATTATATTTTTTACACATTTACTAAAAATAAAATTAATAACCCATTGCTAAGAAGGAGATGGTGGATAGTTTCTATTAATTTACCGTAACAGTACCATATACGGTGAATAGAATAGTGGATAGCTTGCGGCTTGCGCCACGAAAGATGAACAGTGCGGTGCGGTATGACATACGGGGAAGCGAAACCATAGCAACGGGCGACGCGCTAGCTCCAAGTAGTGTCTCCCTGCGTCCAGTCACCCGCGCACATACTTGTGTCGTCTTGCGTACTATCGATATCGAAAGTGTTAGCGACTACCTGTTATACAATATTTAAAATATATATATATATATATATATATATATATATATATATATATATATATAAATAAATAAAGTAAATAATTATTCAATAAACCTGGTACTTAAGACTTAAATATTGATATCGGTATTAAAGCTGATTTGTAAAAGCTGAGAGATTTGTAAAACTTAGCAGGATCTATTGAAAGATGACTGTAATTATGTAAAGAAAAAGAGAGGTTCAACTAGTCCCGGAAAAAACACATGTTTCTTCATAAATTTAAGTACATATATATTTTAAATGAAATTAAAAAAAATCAATAATATTATTAAACACTGTATTTAATAAACTTTCTTACAGTGTATTACACTTCTTTATACATTATCATCAAAAAAAAAAGTTATTAACAATAAAATCACGTATGTCGTCTTGAGACAAAACAGAAATTACAAATACAAAATATTTTACCTCTTTAACTAAGTGTACACAAAATACAGAATATTCTTTAGCAGCAATTAAAACCTAACGATTATATATAAGTACGTTTTCGTAGAGACTTTGATGTGTAGTTATAATGTCGACCTTTGACTTTTTACATATTAAAATGTCATAATACAGTTTGCATTTTTCTGCTTGATTATACATGTTATACGGGTCAATCAACTATTCGACCCACATTTTGGAGAGCTCAGGCAAAATATTTTTTTTAAAAATAAATATTTAATATTGCATTCCGACACGAAAAGTGTGTTCGAAATATCAACTATTTTGTATATTTCAAAGGGGCACGAAGTTGATTTATTATTTTGGCCGCAA